GTCATTTTTGGTAAAAAGTGATATTTTTAACTTCTTGTTAAAAACCGCAAGTCCAATTGCTTTGATATTACATATATAGGTACTACATGTGGTCCTCTCTCAGATTTGTTCATTTTGTAATGATATCTTTAATTCTCTAATTTTGGTGAATATTTTTGTCATTTTTGGTAAAAAGTGATATTTTTAACTTCTTGTTAAAAACCGCAAGTGCAATTGCTTTGATATTGCATATATAGGTACTATATGTGGTCCTCTCTCAGATTTGTTCATTTTGTAATGATATCTTTAATTCTCTAATTTTGGTGAATATTTTTGTCATTTTTGGTAAAAAGTAACATTTTCGACTTCTTGTTCTTGTCTTCTGTTCTTTAATTGCCATGTGCATTGCTAACAGCGGAGCTATCTTAGCCGACAGGCTGCTTGTTCAATTTTTAAATGATTTTATTAATTTTCTTCTTGTATCTTCAATACAGGATGAAGATTTCACATTGGAAGGTTTATTAAGTCATGTCATTTCATTATTGACACCATGTTGGCTTTACCTGGATGCAGATATGTTACCAGGCATTGCTGTAAGTTCTCCTTCAATAATGTACATATAATAATGTAAGCGACTACATTGTATGGAAAAGTTCTGACTATTAATAGAAAGTAATGTCAACTTTTCGGGCTTTCATTATTATAGGTTAATATCATGGGATAGCAAAATAATTGGGGTAAAACACTTTGAAATGGTGTGAAAAATGTTCTAAAAATTAGCACTGGTTTCTGTGGTGAAATTATTTTTAATTGTGCAAAACTCAAAATTTCCTTAATTTAGTAAGTTTTCAGTGTGATAATAGTTTCCCATTGTATACAGTGAGGTTCTCTCCCATAATGCATTGCATATATGAGCAGTAAAAGCTCAGTAGTACAAAATTTGTTAGTTTGGATTTCTGGTTCATTTTTCAGATTGATTTTCTTTCAGTTTTTCTACACTTTGTACATTCAGGCAAAAAATTGAAAAACTCACTTCAAGACAATGGAATAAAAAACTTGACATCCACTTCTAGACTGTATGAAGTGAAAAGGGTCATCTAGTTATGCGGCAAATACTATATACGTTTTCTATGAAAAAAAATGTACATACTCATTGCTGCTTGCAACTATATATTTTGTTTTTGACGCTGTAGTGTAAATTGTACATATCAATGTTCTGATTATAGATTTGTCAAGCTGTGTGGTCACCACAGAGTGTAGAGGATTCCATTCAACAGCATTGTCTTCCATTTCTAAGATATCTGCATTATTACAACATTTCATCTTCAAAGAATCTCTTCCAATCTGCCAGGTATGATATTATTTATCCAGTGAAATTGCACAAAATATCAAAATAGTGAAATTAAATGCTTTTACAGTATCGTACCCTATTAGGAAATGCAAATTTAAAATGTAGAATGATGGCAAATATGTTTGAAGCAAAAAATATCCACATATTTATTCTCTTGCTTATTTCTGAGCATCAAGTGGTTTGGTCAGGAAGATTCAGAGTATTTTTTATAAATTTTTGCAAATTTTGTGAGTCACTGAAAATCACAAAAAATTTTAACTGAAAATTTCTCTGGTTCTTCTCAGAGTCTTTTCATCTTCACACATTTTGTACAATCCTGAAATTTCTATCAGTGAAAAAAGAATTTATCGTTTGTTACATAGAATGAAGATTTGGAGTTTGAAGTGCTGGTGAATTATCTGGGGTTATGTAGAGTATCTCAACCAAGTCAGTCAAGACAAGTCGTATACAGTCTACGATGTCTACACTTTGCTCATAGTAATCCCAAGCTGGTCATTAAAATGTGGTGTGAAGAGTTGAGTAAGTTTGTTTGGAAGCAACAGCAGACTAGTAAGGTGAGTCATTGTGATTAGCTAACATTATCGAATCAGCAAGTGTTTTATTGTGCCCTGCATGCTTGCCATGAGGGTTCTCTTGTGAAGGTAATGTCCGGCAACTGCATGGTAATTTGCTATTAGTTGTGACTCGTTTTTGTATGTGCACTAAAAGGAACATGTCATAGAACACATGTTAGTTGGTGACAAGGAAGTAAAGCTTGTAAATAACACTGAATACATGGTAAGGTAAATATAGTAAACATGTACAGCATCTGTGACTTGAACCAATATGTGGCTATGAAATGTCATTGCATGTCTTTCTCACATGTGTGAGTGTCAGTTTGATTTATTTTGAGTCACACATGCAGAATAAGTTTACTTTGAAGTAGTATTAATAGTACATACCATTTATGTTGTTTATTTGTTGTTATTTACTTGCTGCATTCTATGTCGGCAGATTCTACAGGTTTACAATTATTTTCTGTACTTTTTCACTGTTAATAATAATGCTGTACTTGACTGGCTCAATTGTTTTGATGTTTTATATCTACCTTGGGTGAACCTCTATGACATTTGTTTGTTTAATGACAATAACTTCAGTTCTCCAGGTTGAGTGAATGATTTTGTCAGTTTTGGTAAAAAGTTTTGACTGTTAATGGCTAGTTCAATTGCTTTGATATTTTATATGTACCTTGGTTGGTGAATATTTTTGTCATTTTGGGTAAACAATTTTGACTTTCTCATGAAAATGGCCAGCCTGGAATGAAGAATTCTTTTAGATTTGATCATTTTGTGATCATCACAATAGTTTCAATCTTCTGTGGATCAGATTTCTTTCAGATATCATCAACTTCAGAGCTATATCAGTCGTTTTGTTTATTTTATAATCTATTACATTTCTTTAGTGATAGTTTCATATCTATGTATATTTTTTATTTTTAGAATTTATTATTATATAACCCGACTTTCTATGCACCAAGACTATTAGAACTACCGCAAAGTTATGATAAGTTATTTCAGTATTATCGAAAGAAAACATGTCACGTTTGTTGCCAAGTACCAAAAGAACCAGCTGTGTGTCTAGTCTGTGGTACTGTGGTTTGTCTGAAAAGCGATTGCTGCAAACATGACAATAAATTGGAATCTGTGCAGGTGAGTTGTGACATGAAAAATCATAAATTTGTCATTTCCTCAGTTTTC